CCATGGATGTTTTCGTCAGTAGGAAGGCCTGGTCAGTTTAGACTAGTTTCCGCCGAAAGCTTTAACCCAAAGTCTCTGGATTCATGGTCAACGACGAATATACGGTACATTATTTCGCTTTTCATAGCTACATCCATTGATGGGATCGGAGATACTCTCCCGGTGACGCCGCGGCAATACTCGTCCGGTAATAAGAATAATTAAGGGGGTTCCTCTGCTACGCAGGAGCCCGCTACACTCTACAACATTGTTCAGAATCCTCAATGGCAAAGGAGCTTTCTCGAATTTACGTTGCCGGAGTTGTAAAATTGGACTTTATCACCCGGTTAAAAGGAGAATTCCCCAGTTAACACAGTCTTAAGTTCATAATTTTCATTTCATGCCTTGAAGTCCAACAGGAGTATTCATTGAGAACCTTGGGTCAAGAAGATACCATGAATCCGCACTAGGCTAGAAGCTGGCCTCTGGATGTAAAGAATTTCTCAAGCCTTGCAGTTCATATTTCAAGATTGTCCCATTTGATATCTTGGGAATGTCTTTCAACATTTCGGCCCCGTCTTTTCTCCCTCAGACATCCTCACTGGTGCGCTAAATCGGGTTATCCTCAAACTTACGCTTGCCTCAATTCATCCCGTCCAGCATGGGCATGGCGGATTAAATCACCATCTACCCTACAGACCTTCAAGGATGGCGGTACGTTGCTATCTCATCGCTGTTTGATCTGAGCATCAAAATATACAAACGGGGAAACCCTCATAATATCTGCCAGGAGTCCTGGAAACCCCCTACCTTACATGTGTTCCCTATTTCCTTGGTTTCTTTGCTGTAGCCAGTTTGCGCCGAGCATCTTCAAAGCTTGTACTGTACCTATTACATCCCCTATGTGGCATTAATCGCCAGTGCCCTCTTCTCTCCCCTCATCTATCTCGCCGTTGCAAATGACAGCTCGAATAGCTTCCAGTGACTTGCCCGCTTGGCAAACACGTCTGCTTGTATCAGTTGGACCTGCTGCCGCATTGTGTACTTCCGACTCCCTGCAGCAGCCGATACATATAAAGCGTTGACGAGCCGTACAAGCCCGTGACAGTGACTTACAGATAGGCCCTAAACAGGAGCTTGCACCAGAGCGACAGCGCAAAGTGAGGAATGGGTTGATTGAGTGTATTAACATCGCTGGGAGTAGGGTAATATGGAAGTGGAATGAATACACCGTGGCGGTATTGGAAGAGAGCCGTATATACTCCGTATTCTGGCCCCATTTATTTAACAGTTTCAATTACTCAAAAGGCAATTGGGTATTTACATGTACATGCTTTTGCTTGGTTTCACCCCCGATCCGCTGCCGCAGGGTACCATTTTAAAATATGTTATGCATGATTTCAATATCGTTTGAATACCGTCTTCCTAATTTATTCTTGATCAAAATTGGTTACTCATTTGCTTATTGTTTCTGGGCAGCTAAATATCCTCCGTCATGAGTACAACGGATGCTAGCAAAAAGTAGGTGCGGTTCAGGTGCTATTTCAGGTACTATGCGTCACGACAAAGTCCATGCAAGCCTTGCGAGGTTAGCGACGTTGACTTAAAAAAAAAAGATCGCCCATCCTCCATATATCGGATTGCCTCATTCTTGGTATCCGCATCGGCAGACTACTATCAACTCAGCCCTGTGAAGTTTAATACGAACTTGTCAGCCTAAAAACTCCATCAATTTCAAATGAAAGCTTGGGAAAAAAGGGAAACAGATAAGAGATAACACAATGTAGGGTAAGGGGCGCGGACGGGAATATTCTCTCTCTCTTCGCCAGCATTAGAAAGGCTAGATGAGTAGCAGGTAGGATTTAGTTACTCGGGCTCAGAATTCACTTGGAATGAAGGAGCGAAGCCAAGATGACCTAATAAATATTTTCAGTCAAGGAATGTTAATTCTGTGGCGTTTCGCCAGCACCAAGCAGTCTCTGTGGCGCAATTGGTTAGCGCGTTCGACTGTTAATCGAGAGGTTGGAAGTTCGAGCCTTCCCAGGGACGGTTAATTTTTCTTTTGTCTTGTATATTTTTTATTCTTTGATGCCTTGAATGCTTTTCATTCTTCTAGCTTATTTAAGTTAAATATTTTTAAATTTCCTCATACTCCCAGCGCTCAACGGGGGAAAGATCAATTCTACAGATGTACGCATCGTACATGTCAGGGGGGTGGATGGCGTAGTGTTAGGCGCTGTTCATCACCACCGCTAAGTCAGGAAGGTGGTGGATTCAAATCCCACCCCTCTCCAAAAGGATATTACCACATCTTGGTGGATCTTGACGGTACCCTTTCTTATCTCATTTCTATTGGTAACTGCCACTGCAGGGTGGAGCAATGTTCAACACTATATATAGTCTACTCCGTAGATGGATTCAGGATACGCTGTAGTGTTGGCCGGAGTTACCGTTTAATACCGATTGCTACGCAACTACTCCGTAGATAGCTCTTCTGTGATCCTTATCCCAAACCCGTCCGCGATCCCTACCCGTCGCTCGCGACGAATTCTACAGAGTTTACAAGTTCGGCCGTAACAGCTTTTTCTCCCAGCCACTAGAGCATGTCAGCTGCTGTCAAAAGCGGGCTAAGGGATTGATGATGTGTTTTAAAAAAAGATTTCTTTCCGTCAACGGATATTAGAAAGTACAGTAAAGGGGAAGTAAAAAACACCAAGGGGATACCGATTGAAAGCTGAATCGTGAATTGGCTTGAATATGGATGCGTTCTCGCGCGTGCGAGCAAGATTCCCCGTTGGGGGCTATGCCAACTGATCCTGCAGGCGTTGCTGCAATATCAGAAAGAATATATCGACGACTTGATAATGGCTTGAGTAGAGTGGAGTCCTGCGCGGATCTCACCAGCCCCTTTCCCGGTTGTTTTCAAAAGCTTGTATGATAAAATGTGAATATACAAAACGACATGGTTCAAACTTGTTGTAACAATCGTATCAAACTTTTGGCTTTCAGCATCATTCTCGTCGTCATACATCCACCAACAACATATTAGCGCACTGAGCTGCGACCCCCTGCCGCAACTTCATTCCAGATAACCAACCCATTCCTCTGCACATTGCTCTTCGTGACAATAGCGATATGCTTCTCCGGTCCCCGAAGTAGTTGATATGTGATTTTTGATAATCCTGATGTGATAAGCCAGATTGTATCAACTATCCTTGACGGTGCAATGGTAGCCATCCGCAAAGGGGCGTTTCCAGGTCTCTTCATTCCTGGAAAAGCCCGTTAGACGCAGTCCATAACTTTCTTACGTGTATATGATCCTACGGGAGAAGATGGTGAGCAAAATACAATTTCAGCTTCTAGCCAGCTCCATGTCGGGTAAAGATGGAAACATCCCTTACCATTTCCTACAGCTTGCTGGCATGGCTGCGTCCACTGTGCCCTGCATACTCCCCTTCAGGGTTTTCGGGGGCAATTACCCAATTGAATCCTCTGGGTTGGTAGCCGCAGAGCGAAGATCTTGGTTGCTGCTGGTTGGAGTTTGTATATTGCTCTCGTGGTCGGCATATTACTAGTTGAAGACAGACCCCGGAGCAAGATATCGTCAGGTACGTCTGGAGTATCGTAATTGGGAAGAAAGGACGAGAGGGTTATTGAAAATTAGTTAGCCCAAGCTCCGTTAGGTTCATGTGGCATCTATTGGTGATAGGTATGGATTAATGTTTGTATTTTCCATGCACGCACCAGGGGCTCCGACTGAACCAAGTAAATATGCGTCAAAGTTCTCAAACATCAAGGGCTCCTACAGACAGGCATCTGCGGTGTTTCTTGAAAATAGTCACTGCTGCCCCCCTTCCCCCCCCCCCGAAGTTCCCAAAGCCAGCTTGAAGGTGTTCAATATCATGGCGAGTTGTTGAGCACTGTGATCCTAGCCTATATCATCGGCCATTAGCAATTCATACTTTAGATCCGTTCTCAGCGGATGTGTCAATCAAGGAGGCCACGGTTGAATAACCCTCCCACCACATGCTAGTTGCACAGCAAGTAAGAGCAATTTGGTCCTGGCAAAGCTAGAAGTACACAGGTAATCACAAACACGGTCATTCATAAGTTAATTCAGTCAAAGAGCCGAGCCGAGAAGCCTTTTGAGCATCCCGGTCTCATGCGTGTATTCCTCTCGAACATATTCCTACCATCTCTCTCCATATCCTAGACAAAGTGCCTAATAACTTCTGAGGTCTCAACGGTCCAATGGACTGTTACACCGGTCGAGGACTACATGATTCTGTCACCCCTGTCAAAATATGCCTTTCCTCCCCGTGATCCCTGCACTCACTCACTTGGACGACGAAACGTGTCGCGGAAATCAATATGAATCCATCCATCCCATGATCTCCCTTGGGTTATCCAAACATTCGCACAGATCCGAGACCGCGATACTGATGACATGAGCGGATGATTAAAATTCTGTTCTGAGTGTTTCCCATCTGTGAAACTGCACCACTAGCAACGGTTGTGCACAGTAGTACAGGATGTTGAAAAAAAGTTTTCGACATTCAATTGAATCAGAGGGATTCTGTTAGTGGTTTGTATTTTCAGCTCGTGGTATTTTCTGCTGGAGGTAAGGGGCTAATTTACCTTGATCTATGTATAGAATGCCGGTTTGATTAACACATCGTAATGATGACTTCTCGGAACGGCATACATAAATATATATGTAAGATTCTAAGTCGCGAGCTGAAGCTAAACGAAGAATCCCTCGAATCCTTCAGATATGAGTCAATAGCTCATTTTCCCGTCTTTTTGTAAATTTCTTTCTCATGACCTCCACTTTTCATTCAGTTTGATATATTTGCATGGGAAGATAAAAAGCAAAATATTTACCCTCCTTACTGCTATTAATTCATCTCGATAAAACCGTCGTTCCAAAGTGCCAACCAACCTTAGACAAAAAAAAAAAAAGGGGGGGGAAATAACGCCATATTAAATTGGATTTATAAACATCGTTATTCATTGAATCCATGCCGTCGCGAGTGGAAGTGAGCGACGACAACTATGCCATCTCCAGCAAGGGCAGTCGCAATGACACGGGCTACCTAACAGCCCTTCCCCCGGAGATCCTGCGAGAAATTCTCCAATATGTAGGCGCCGACGAACTCAGAGCCAACAATCTGGACAGGCTACTCATCAGCAAATACTGGTACTGCATTGCATCAGCAGTGCTGCTGGAAGATGTCAAACTCTCCGCGACTGGCTTGACGAAATTTCTCGCACTGCAGAAGCGAGAAATGGCTACACCGGGAAATAGTGGACCGGAGCATCAACCTCAATATAAGGAGGTTACGTGTACACGAGCAAGAACGGTATCAGAATCGGAATCAGAACTAGTGGATGGGCCCATTGGCCCAATATCAACTCGGACATCGAGTCTCGCTATCTGTCTGACCGGCTACTCAGGATGGGCCGCCCATATCGACCCCGAGACGCACCAGATTATCCCGGAGAGATTCAAGATCCTCGCGGACTGGACCGAAAAGACAAGAGCAGATATGAATCGTCTTTCCAGTTGGTTGGGCACATTGAAAACTTTGACCAGATTCCGTTTCCAAGCCGAAGGAGAATTGAGTGTGCGCACCATTCCGGAGAATCTATTCGAGCATATGAAGAGTTACTTACACGCGGATGCAATTGCGCTTATGTGCAGGAGTATCCCTGTCGAACGTTTGAGGGTTCTGGAGTTGGACACATGCGGATCGGCGTTTCTGGCGCGAGGTGTGGATGGTGCTAAGCCAGGACATGCTTCGGATAGTGAACATATCTGCCCTCTTATCGGGAGGTATGTGCCGTACCTGCAGCAACTGAGGGTGAGGATGCATCGGATCTGCCCGGAGGTTTTTGGAGTTGGTAACAAGAATAATTTGCAGTATACAACAGCGCGGAAGGAGTTTGTATTTCATCTGAGCCTGTATGATCCACTGAACGGGGATGACGAGTGCAAAGTCTGCGGGGGCTTTGTTCATTC